AGTACGACCTTGTGCTGGAGTCTGGACTGTACTATGAGAACTAGCGGGAGTACGAGCTGGTGTCTGAAATGAACGATTTAGCTCTGGATAGTCTTTCAAAAAATGATCACCAGAACCACATTTATAACATGTGCCCAATTTCATCCTGCATTCTCCAAGATGTTGTTTTCCACAGTAATCACATGTCTTCAAAGGTTGTAACCCAGATGATCCACCATGTCTAGAAGAATGTACACCTGAAGAACCAGATGTAACAGATCTGACACTCGTACCGCCTCTCTGAAATGACTCACCCTGCCTCTCTTGCTAGGGTGTGTAGAAGAATCAACAAAACCAGAAGGCCTCCTGAATCGGGTTTGAGCTCGATCACTATTTCTCTTGTGCTCCATACCCAGTCGCTCTATTTCCTCAGCAGTCTTGGCTATCTCAACCAAAGCATTAAAATTTCTTTCTCGGTGGGTAGTAACTCGACTCCTGATCTTATACCTGAGTCCATTCTCGAACCTCAAGCATCGATCTGTCTCCGTGTCAATAAGTCCAGGAGCATAACAGCTCAATCGGATGAACTCAACCTCGTAGTCCATAACAGACATGCTACCCTGCTCCAGATTCTGAAACTCCTGACGACGCTCCTGCAGGTATCTCTCTCCGATGTAGCGACTCCGGAAGCGCGTCTTGAAAAGATCCCATGTTAACTGGTTTCTCAGAATACTACCAGAAATTGATTGCCACCATCTGAAGCTCTCTTTTTCAACATAGTTAGGCCCCCCTTCAAATTCTGTTCAGGTCTGAGGTCCATCTCATCCATAATCCTCTTTGTGTCCTCCAGCCAATACTCAACATCTGTCGGAGGTCCACTAGTAATACCCTCAAATGGAACTACACCAGCAGCAACCAGAGAATTTGAAATCTCAACCGCAGTCATATTATTAGGGGCTCTAACAGCTCTCTGAAACATGTGGAATATAGCTCTAATAATGGCATCTTCGTTCATGTCAGTATCCTCATCTCCAGAGACGGGAGGATCTCTCACAGGAGTAAACTGGTCATCATGAGAAAGGGTCGGATCTACTTGCGGAACAGGAGGATCACGTGGAGACATCGGTTGTCGATCGTAACAGAAGGTCAAGCGACTCGCCCTTGACCCCGACCACGTCCTGTCCTACGACCTCTAGCGGCACTCATCGTTGGATCTATAAGGCTCTACAGAAAGAGTTTGAAACATATGTCACATTAGCATCAGAGATCTCGAGAAAATTTTAAATCATAAAATAAGGTGACACATTTTTTTTTCTTCAAAATTTCTTAAAAATCCAAAGTTTAGGACCCATATACAGTCCGAGTGTTTAAAACTGAAAGCTCTGATATCACCAAATGTAACCCTCCAGACCCGGTCTGTAAGTTAGACCCAAACCTAAGTGGTCACATGTCCCATTCAGAGGTTTTTTTTTCCTTAACAACTTATAGAACATTAAATATAATATAGAACAAAATATTAATAATACAGATATATCCAAAACGATAGCAAATACATGTCACCAAATATAACCGAAAAACATAAAGAGATATATGTTCGTACAAAATAAGTAGTTGATCTCTCCTGATCCCAAATCTGCTAGCTTACGGTATGCTGTTATCTAAAAAGGTAAAAACTATAGAATGAGCTAAAAAGCCCAGTGTGCTCCAAACAGTGTATTAAAAACATGCGAATAAAATATTCCAGTAAAACCGATTATCAAACATGTTTTAAAATATGAACACTACCCTCATCCGTCAAGTCCAAAATGTGTAGGTTCCCCAGAACCATACACCCACCAACAAGTCCAATAAGGCCCTGAGCACACAGCAGAGGAGCCTCCATGTATACTTCCTTTATCATTACCCCCAAATAAATCATGTTCCGCTCATAACGGATATATATATTATAAAAAATTAAAACATAAATCAGGTCAGGTAACAGATCATAATCCATGTCAAGTATCATATAAAAATTCAAGTCAGGTAACAAATCAGAATCCATGTCAAGTATCATATAAAAATTCAGGTCAAATATCATATCAGATAACTATTCATATGATAGTTTAAACCAGCAAGATAACACTGTCTGGAAACAGACCTGTAACAGTCTGGGAATCAGATAGGGAAGCCTACTACTGGGTTTGTCGATCATGCTCTGCTGCAGCGCTAGATCCTACGAATTGGAAAAATCCATATTGGAATCCTAATATATAAAAAAAATCTTAATCTTTATTTAAATCATATACGGAAACCTACGAGTAATTCTTGTATTACGCGGTTCGGACTGATCTGATGAACGGACAACACCGGACCTGACTGATCCTCGCTCAGGTGAAACACGAGTACCTTCATAAAATATCTTACTTAATCAATTCCTTAACCATATCTCAAATAAATAATCAAAATACTAAAATACTAAGCCTATTTGGGTTCACAAGCTCGATTCGTGAATTTCGGGTCAGAATTTGACAAAACAGACTTCGGAATCAGATTCAGGACGTCGAAAAACATAAAGTATGACCTCCCGAAATTCTGAATTATTGGTCAAAATCAAAGTCAACGGGTTTGACTGACGATTTGGAGACTTTCGGGTTTGAATTTTGTGAAACGGGCCCCAAAAACGGATTCGAGATGTCAAAAAATATCATGATAGATATTCTCGAAAAAGATTAACGGCTGTTTAATATCTGGTCAAAGCCGGTCAAAGTTATAGTCAAAAGTGGTCAACCATTTTAAGAAATTATTATTTATTTATTTATTTATTTACAAAATTACAAAAATAGCACCATTTTAAAATTAATTACCAATATAGCATCATTTTCAAAATATTTACTAAAATGTCATTTTTCAAAAATTACGAAAATAGCATTTTTAAAAAAATTACAAAAATAACACCCTTTTTGAATTAATTCTTAATATGTCACCAGTTTCAAAATAATTACTAAAATGTCACTAGGTCAACGGTCAACGTGTCGGGTCAGGTCGGGTCAGGGCGGGTCAACGAGTCGGGTCGGTTCGGGTTGTAACTGGTCAAACCGGTCATTTTGACCTTCCCCACGCGTAGTGGCGGCACGTGGGACGTCTTACAGAAGCGTAAAATTCACGGAAAAATTTCTAAAAATTATTTTGAGCGATTTCGAGATACTTACAAAGATGGCTTCAAATTTTTGAACGGCGGATAGCTCGATTTCATCAAATCGAAAACTTTGACCGCTTCACCACCACACGCGCCGCCGTCGCCGGAGAAAAGAAGGACATCGGTGGAATCGGAACGACACAAGGAACACGATGGTGTAGGAGGTGTCGTAAACGGAGCAACGATCGACGATGAATTTAAGATTTCCTCGGCGATGGAGCTAAAAAAAAGTCGAGACTTTGACTTGAATTTCACGGCGTATGGCAGCGTTTCACTTCAATTAATTTAAGGGATTTGTTCATTGCTCGATGATGAACACGGTGGTGTTTTCAAATCAACGATCAGAGGTCGGACGGCGTCGGGATCGTGGTTGGAAGATGGGCGTTGGGAAGGGAATTTTGGGAATGGTTTTCTGTTTTTGAAACAGAAAACCACGTATATAACATGGTTTTCAGACACTTCCTGGGTAAATTCGGGGCTTGGTCCCTGAATTTTCTTTAACTCTAAAACAAACTACAAATTTTAAAATCTTTCAATTTAGTCCCAAAATTTATCAATTTTCACAATTAAAAACTCAAATTTCAATTAAATATTATTTTCAAATTTCCGGGTTGTTACAAAGTTAGATATACCAAAAACTACAAATTATACACTATAAACAGACATGATATTAAACAGTGAAAACAAAGCCAAATATGTTTCAAACTTGCACAGTATTCACCCAAGTCATTATTCTATCATAGTTTACAAAATGCATCAAATAACATTCCAGAAGTAAGCACTTATATAAACATTTTAAAGGACAACATATAGGTTTAGTGCTGGTTCAAAGACAACATAAAGAGTAATAGTTTATTCTTAAAACTTAAATTCGCAACACTGTGAAGTTAGTATTTGTCTTTATTTTTTGGTTGAAGTAATCCAATTCATTCAAGTTTCAATTTGCAGAAGAAGAATAGTTTCTGAAACTTAAAATCGCAACGCGAAATGAAACTTGAATGAATTGCATTACTTCAACCAAAAGACAAAACAAAGACAAATACTAACTTCACAGGGTTAAAGACTAAACAGTTTAGCAATATTGGAAGCAACCGAATGAATTTACTAAGCAATCTAAGTGAAATGGTTAATCTATTATTGAAATTACCAGTAAATTTATCATCAATTTAAATATGAAAAATCTAATAATAATACAAAAAATTTAAAATAAAACTAATTAAAAAAACTAACCCTCGGTGGTTGATTTTCTATTTCTGACCGTGAATGGTTGTGCGGGTAGCTCTGAGAGATAGAGATAGACGGATTTCGCCGGAGATGGGGATGTATGTTGTCGTAGAGAGTGAGAGATGGAGATGGGACTGAGTTGTGATTTAGGGTTTTAGGTTATGATTTGCGATTATACTGTTTACATTTGTGTTGTGAAATTAATATTGTGTTTCGAATTCGAAAATAAAATTCGCGTTGCGAAAATAAACGCGCTTTGCGAATTTGACTTATGTGTTGCGAATTTGACTTCTGTGTTGTGAATTACAAATTCGCGTTGCGATTTATAGATTCGCGTTGCGATTTGAAGAAGTTCATCCAGCTCTGGATATCTAATCCTTTCGTTCTTAATGTTCATTCACTCTCCTTCTTCTGTGACTATCTCGAAAGGTATTTTGAATTTTCAATCTCTGGTTTCATGTGGCGCAAAAATCTTTCACATTGTCTTCCCATCGTAAAGAAGACCAACGAAATCTCCATTCAGCTACAAGTCCAAATTACTAAGTACAATGGTTCTTTTCATTCTGTTGCTTGCTGATTTCCTGCTCGCTCATCCGTGGCTTCATGCTTTTCTGCTTAGGCATGATCTCCCTCTTCACTCGACACCTGGTGTATGATGTCCAGCGGTACTCCCAACGACTTATGAAATGAAAATCCTATTTCAGATTGGTAAAAAGTAGTTCAAACCCAAAACAAAGAAGGAAACTTTATTTGCATTTATGTGATTAAATTTTTTGAAATTTTCTGCATTTTTCCCCAACATTTTTTTATGACTCTAGTTTTGATGCAAATGATGTAGCAGGGAATTAATAAAGGGTCGATTGATATATGGAAATCTGATTATGCAAACTACTTCTATGGATGAAGCCAAAGAAGTCATAATTTTCCTGGTACGTAGTATATATTATCTTCGAATTCATTTGTATAGAAGCTTTTATGTTCTTTACTTAAGTTAAAACTGGATTACAAAAGACGTTTGAATCTTAATAGGATTTTTTTCTTTGATCTAATATGTTAGTTTTATCTGCAATCCAATGCTCGTTTTCTGTATTTAGTTGATTACAATTGCCAAAAATAGTTGCTTTATATGTTTATGTTAGTTTACTTTCTATGCGAAGTACATATTTTTCTTATTGGAATATCTAAATTCCCTACATCTCTTTTAACTTTGTGGTTTTAGATTTAGGGTCTTTTGATGGTGATTGGTAAATTGTTTTGGTTGTGAGGTTAGCAAAGGAGCATTAGATTATAATACTCATTTTTATATTAGTTGTTGATAATGTTGAAATGGATGTGTCCTTAATACATCAGACTGTTAATATTTACTACAATGTTTAACTATTTCTTTATTGATTGCTTCTTTTGCTTAGATTGATTTCAAACTTTGAATTTCCAATGTTTATCAGGAGAGAATTTTGTGTTAACTTTGAAGATTAAAACTTAATTATCGATGATTTCTCCCAGTAGTGAAATCATATGGAATTAGCTCATTCTGTGTAATTTGATGGTGCTTGCTTCTTATTTCATTTTAGCAACAGTGACAACAACCTCACACTTTGTTTCAAGAAGTTCTCATGTCACCAGCCACGGGGCAGACAACAATTTGATTGGCATCAAGAATAAAGCCGTTATTTCTCACAATGGCCTGAGGTTTTTTGAACAAGCTGGACAGGTTGCAAATGAGAAGCCAAACAAAGGTAGTTGCCAGGCAAGCTATATTTTTTTTTGCGGTAAAGGGATGAATTTAGTCTTTGTGGGAGCCGAGTGTGGTCCATGGAGCAAAACGGATGGACTCTGTGATGTCCTTGGTGGACTTTCTCCAGCAATGGCTGTAAGTATAGCTTTACACACTCATTTATAATTTGCAGCATGTATAACTTTAGATACTAATTGAACATTGAGCAGGCCAATGGACATCGAGTTATGACAGTGTTGTTGGATCATAAACTTGATCCATTATGGGATCCTAAACCCAAACCCAAACTAAATTGATGTCATTGCTTACATCATTTAAGTAAAGATGTCATTGCTTACATCATTTAAGTAATGATGCCATTGCTTACATCAATTTAGTTAGGTGAGAGTTAGGTATTTGTTGAATTTGTAATGGTTTAAATTAGTTTATTTGTGTGGTGTAGGATTGTTCTTGAGTAGTATAAATACCCTTCCTCATTTTAGTTTTAAGCATCAAGAAAAATTAAGAGCTTCTAAGTGAGTGAAGAAGCAAAGTCTTATAAGAGTGAGTTGTAGTTCTTGTTTTTGAGTGAAAGTGTTCTTGTTTTTGAGTGAAAGTGATCTTGTAATATTTTTTTTAGTTTCAATAAAAGTTGTTTGTGTGAGTGTTTTATTTCCAACAAAGTGGCATCAGAGCGAGTTGGAAAGATCGAAGGTCTCGAAGAGAGGAATCCGCCACCGCCAAAATTTTCTCAATCTGAGTTCTGATGCACCGCCGGAAGACTGCTGCCAGAAAATCGAGTTGACTCACCGAGTTGAGCCGAGTCAGCTGAGTTGGAGCCCCTTGACCAAGTTATCCAAGTCCCTCATAAGGTTTTTCGACGTTCCGGATTCATCCGTGCAATCGGATTTTACAAAATCTCATTCTATTGAGAGATATGGCAAATGGTATGGCACAATTCCAAGTTCCGACACTCAACAACAAAAACTACGACAATTGGAGTATCAAAATGACGGCACTTCTTGGATCACAAGATGTGTGGGATATCATAGAGAAAGACTATAACGAGATTGTGGATGATGTTGTTTTTGCTACTCTTACACCAGATCAAAAGACAACTTTGAAGGATTCAAGAAAGAGAGACAAGAAGGCTCTCTACCTCATCTATCAAGCATTAGATGATGATAGTTTTGAAAAGATTACAAGTGCAAGCTCTAGCAAGGAAGCATGGGAGAAGCTGTAAACCTCTTACAAATGATCCGAGCAAGTGAAGAAGGTTCATCTTCAAACATTAATAGGTGAATTTGAATCCTTACACATGAAAGCATCTGAGTCTATTTCAGATTATTTCTCAAGAGTAGTAGTTGTTTCTAATCAATTAAAAAGAAATGGTGAAAAGTTAGAAGATGTGAGGATAATAGAGAAGATACTCCGTTCGTTGGATCCCAAATTTGAGCACATTGTCGTGACGATTGAAGAAACTAAAGACTTGGAAAAATGATGATCGAGCAAATCCAAGAATCATTGCAAGAATACGAAGAGAAGCATAAGAAGAAGCATGATTTTACTGAGGAACTCCTCAAGCTGCATCTCAAGGATATACATGAGATCCAACGTAATGATAGAAACCAACGTGGCCAAGGCAAAGGTAGAGGTCATGGACGAGATGGAAGTCGAGGTCGTGGACGAGGCTGGAATTACAACAACAACAATTCCAACAACTATGAGAAAGGAGAAAGCTCAACACGAGGCCGTGGAAGAATCAATCCGAACTCAAGGCATGATAAATTTCAAGTTCGATGTTATAATTGTCAGAAGTTTGGGCATTAAGCTTCAGAATTTAGAGCTCCCAACAACAAAATTGAGGAGAAGGCCAATTACGTGGAGGAAAAGACAGATGGAAAAGAAACTCTTCTTCTAGCACGAAAGGAAACTGATTGTGGCCAAGCAAATTCCTGATACCTTGACAGTGGTGCAAGCAATCACATGTGTGGAAGGAAAGACATGTTCGTGGAGCTAGACGAGTCATTAAGTGGAAATGTTTCGTTTGGAGATGATTCCACAATAGCAGTGAAAGGGAGAGGTAACATTCTTATCCGTTTGAAAGATGGGAGACATCAATTTATTTCAAATGTCTACTATGTGCCCAATATGAAAAGTAACATCTTAAGTTTAGGGCAACTGGTTGAGAAAGGTTATGATATTCATATGAATAATTATAATCTTTCTATAAAAAATGATAAGAATAACTTCATTGCTAAAGTACTGATGTCAAAGAATAGAAGGTTCTTGATCAACATACAAAATGATGTTGCAAAGTGCCTGAAAGCTTGCTACAAAGATGCATCATGGCTTTGGCATCTTCGATTTGGGCATCTTAATTTTGGAGGTCTAGAGCTGTTATCTAAGAAGGAGATGGTGAAGGGACTACCTCGCATCAACCATCCTGACCAGCTTTGTGAAGGGTATCTAGTTGGGAAACAATTCAGGAAAAGCTTTCCAAAAGAGTCAGAGACAAGAGCCAAGAAGCCACTTGAGCTCATCCATACCGATGTGTGTGGACCGATCAAGCCAAGCTCTCTCGGTAACAGTAACTATTTTATTCTCTTCATTGATGATTTTTCAAGAAAAACCTGGGTATATTTCTTGAAACAGAAGTCAGAAGTTTTTGAAGTCTTCAAGAAGTTCAAAGCAGCAGTGGAGAGAGAAAGCGGTAGAAAGATCAAAGCCATGAGATCCGATCGAGGTGGAGAATTTACTTCCAGGGAGTTTTAAGAGTTCTGTGAAGCAAATGGAATTTGTCGACCAATTACAGTTCCTAGATCCCCCCAGCAAAATGGTGTGACAGAAAGAAAGAAAGAATAGAACAATCCTCGATATGGCACGAAGCATGCTCAAAATCAAGAAACTACCCAAAACATTTTATGCAGAAGCAGTAACGTGTGCAGTCTACTTGACAAACTGATCTCCAACAAGAAGTGTATGGGGAAAGACACCGCAAGAAGCATGGAGTAGAAGAAAGCATGGCATTTCCCACTTGATAACCTTTGGAAGTATCCCATGTTCACGTACCAGACGAGAGAAGAACGAAGCTTGATGATAAAAGCGAGAGTTTTATCTTCATCGGCTATGATACTAATTCGAAGGGCTACAAGTTGTACAATCCAAACAATAAGAAGTTTGTGATTAGTCGAGATGTGGTCTTCAACGAAGAAGGAGAATAGGATTTTAACTCTCATACAAATGACTTCAATTTTTTTCCTCAGTTTGAAGAAGATGAGCTGACAATGAGGGAACAACTAGATAAATCTCAACAAGAGCTTGCAACTCCACCCACTTCACCAACATCAACCACTCAATGAGACTCATCACCTTCATCATCGTCAAGTGGGAGTCAAAGTGAAAGAGTTGTGCAACGCACAAGAAGCCTTAGAGATCTCTATGAGGTAACTGAACAACAAGATAATCTTACATTATTTTGTCTGTTTGCCGATTGTGAACCAATGAGCTTTCAAGAAGCGGTACAAGAAAAGAAATGGAGAGATGTGATGGATGAAGAAATCAAGGCCATCGAGAAGAATAACACATGGGAACTTACGTCACTTCCCAAGGGACATAAGGCGATAGGTGTTTAATGGGTATACAAAACAAAACAAAACACTAAAGGAGAGATTAAAAGGCACAAGGCGAGGCTAGTTGCTAAAGGCTATAGTCAAAAGGCTGGAATTGACTATGATGAGGTATTTGCTCCTGTTGCTCAATTGGAGACTATCAGACTAATCATTTCTTTGGCATCTCAAAACAATTGGAAGATACAACAGATGGATGTAAAGTTTGCCTTCCTAAATGGATTTCTTGAAGAGGAAGTTTACATTCAGCAACCATCAGGCTATGAAGTCAAAGGGCATGAAGACAAGGTGTTGAAATTGAAGAAGGCTATTTACGGGCTAAAACAAGCACCAATGGCATGGAATAGCCGAATCGACAAGTACTTCCAAGAGAATGGCTTCAACAAATGTCCCTACGAGCATGCTCTATATATCAAGATCAAAGATGGAGATATTTTGATCGTGTGCCTCTACGTGGATGATTTGATCTTCACCGGAAGTAACCCAAGCATGTTTAATGAATTCAAGGATGTGATGATGAAAGAATTCGAGATGTCAGACATGGGGCTCATGGCGTACTACCTTGGCATTGAAGTTAAGCAACAAAATGATGAAATTTTCATTTCACAGGAAAGCTATACTAAGGAGATACTGAAGAAGTTCAAGATGGAGAACTGTAAACCAATAAGTACACCGACAGAATACGGGATCAAGATGTCCAAACATGAAGAAGGCGAAAGTGTAGATCCAACATTCTTCAAAAGTTTAGTGGGAAGTCTACGCTATCTAACTTACACAAGACTCGATATTCTTCACGCAGTTGGATTGATTAGTCGCTACATGGAATCTCCAACAACCACTCATTTTAAAGCTGCAAAGAGAATTCTTCGCTATCTGAAAGGTACAATTGACTTTGGCTTGTTCTATTCAGTTTCTAATGATTACAAGCTTGTTGGATAGAGCGACAGTGATTGGGGTGGAGACATAGATAATCGAAGGAGCACACTGGATTTCTATTTTTTATGGGAGATACTGTTTTCACATGGATGTCAAAGAAACAACCGATTGTCATATTGTCCACTTGTGAAGTGGAATATGTTGCTGCTACCTCATGCGTTTATCATGAAATTTGGCTTAGAAATCTATTGAATGAGATAGGTTTGATACAAGAATAGTCTACCAAGGTTTGTGTCGACAACAAGTCAGCCATTGCCTTAGAAAAAAATCCAGTATTCTATGATCGAAGCAAGCACATCGATATTCGCTACCACTATATAAGGGAGTGTGTTGCAAGAAATGATGTGGAAGTTGAATACATGAAGTCACAATATCAAGTTGCCGATATTTTTACCAAGCCACTGACAAGCGAAGACTTCATAAGATTAAGGAACTTACTAGGGGTCACAAGATCAAGTTTAAGGAGGGGTGTTGGATCATAAACTTGATCCATTATGGGAGCCTAAACCCAAACCCAAACTAAATTGATGTCATTGCTTACATCATTTAAGTAAAGATGTCATTGCTTACATCATTTAAGTAATGATGTCATTGCTTACATCAATTTAGTTAGGTGAGAGTTAGGTATTTGTTGAATTTGTAATGGTTTAAATTAGTTTATTTGTGTGGTGTAGGATTTTTCTTGAGTAATATAAATACCCCTCCCCATTTTAGTTTTAAGCATCAAGAAAAATTAAGAGCTTCTAAGTGAGTGAAGAAGCAAAGTCTTATAAGAGTGAGTTGTAGTTCTTGTTTTTGAGTGAAAGTGCTCTTGTAATATTTGTTTTAGTTTCAATAAAAGTTGTTTGTGTGAGTGTTTTATTTCCAACAAGTGTCTCCTCGATATGATCAATACATGGATGCATGGGACACCAGTTTCATAAGCGCTGTAAGGTTTTCGATTCTGTTATGTTCGGTTTGAATTCAATTAAACTGAACTTTCTTTGGATTATATTTCTTAAGAATCAGCTCTTAACTTGCATGTAAAAGTCAGTGAGAAAACTGTGACCCTTCCGTGTTTCGAGCATAGTTATTTCTGGCTTGATTATTTTAGTAAACAATCACACACACACAAATATAATATATATATATATATGAGATGGACTCTTGAACTGTTTGAAATAGTTGCACATCCAAGGCATGGCAATGAATGTGGTATATGTATCTATATGCTTTATGTTGTACCTAATATTGTCGATTATGCCATACTACACTTGAGTGTTTTAGTGTCAGACTAAGTGATCTTTCCAGTATACATATCAAAGCTAGTAGGTATTTACTTTGTCTTTTTCTTTTTTTCCAGGTGTAGACAATCATTTTCGTTCATTTTTTTATTTTTTTATTTTATACATATATATTTATATATATATTATATAGTTTGCAAACGGTTTTTGAAAATACGTATAATATATATATATTTTTAAAAACATTTTGGAAATGTATATAATATATAGTTTTTGAAAATATTTTTTAAAACTTATATAATATATAATTTTTGAAAACATTTTTAAAAACTTATATATAATATATAATTTTTAAAACATTTTAAAAATTATATGATTTTTTAAAGAACAATTTTATAAATTATATAGTTTTTTTTTAAAAAACAGTTTTGAAAATTTATATATAATATATAGTTTTTAAAAGGATATTTTTAAAAATTTATATTATATAGTTTTATATTATTATTTATTCATTTATTGTTAATTTTCATTTATTTTTTTGTTTTTTTTGTTTTAGGTCCAATGGTCCAATTTTTGGGTCTAACAGGAACTTTAGTAGGCATGATCCAGCCCGTCAGATTTAGGGTTTGGGAACCCTAAAATAGAAACAACACAGGCACCGCATAGCAAGTCAAACATCAAGCTCGAACCGGCCAGCCGGAAAAGTCGGGACTGCACCATCCCGAGAATCCCGGCCACGTGAACGTCAAGGGGAACCAACCCCGTCATCACCGAAAACAGCCCCGTTGGGGGGCTATATAAATACCAACGGACAAGAACAACAAAAAAAGACGATCGAGACATCAAACAATGAGTCCACAACCATCATCGAGCAACATAACAGACTCGAAAAACCAAACAAAACAGAGAACACAAGCCAACAACACAAAATCGAGAGCCACAGGACACCCAAAAGCAAATCAACGGTATACCAAACACAACCAAAGCCGAAGCCCTATAGAAAAATAAGTAAAAAATCAAAACAAAAACGAGGATATCGTCCAGAGAGGAGCCCGCTGGGAAGTCGAGAAGACTCATCGGAAAAGGTACAAGCCGAAGCTTTGAGCGTAGATCTACGCCGGTGGGGGGATTTCTTGAGAGTTTAAGTTTAAGTTTTGGCTTGGGGGCGTTGAGATGAGTGTTTCGGGGTGAGCTTTGATTTTTCGGCTGCCGCTCGGTGGCAGATTCGGCCGAGGAGCTGGTTGAGAGAGTTCTCTCTCGTTTGAGAGAGATGACTAATGAGGCAAAATGAGAGAATGAGGAGAAATGGGGTGTTTTAGCCCATTTTTATACGAGGGACTAAGTTACAATTAGGGGATAGTTTAATTCTTTCCACCGTCCCCCATATTCTGAAGCGCAATTCATTTTGGTCACTATATGTAATTTGACCCTTGGATTTTTGATTTATTCAATTTGGTCACCATTTACACTTTTTATATTTTGTGAATTAACCCCATGATTTTGTTTATTTTCTATTGCAATTCACTTTTAAAATTCATTTCGGTCCATAAATTCTAATCTCATTCAATTTGATTATTTTTTTGGTTTTTTATTATTTCTATTTTATTTCTCATTATTTTACTATTTCTACGTAAATTTCATTTTTTTTATCATTTGTTTTCATTGATTTTATTATTGCCAGTATATGTATTTTTTTATTTTATCTTTCTTCTAACTTTTTTTTTGTTCATTTTTTAATTATTTTTCTCATTTATTTATTTATTTTATATTTACTTATTTTTTTCCTTTTCTTTTTTTCTAACATTTTCGATTTTTCTTTTAGAAGAATTTCAACCAATCAGAGATAAGCAATTTGAATTGGATTTTTTAAATTTGAATTTAAATTTGTAATTTTCACAATTAAAGACAACCGACAAACTAATTGGTACCGAAAGGGCGGTTCAAGGGTGTTAATCATTCCTTGACCGTAACCAACTCTCGAACCCGACACGTTTCTGGTACACCGCAGATCAGGTAAGATGGTATCTGACCCATCTAAATTCATTTTTAAGTGGTCGGTGGCGACTCCAATTCATTTAATCCAAGTCGAAGCCCAATTTCGGGTCCAACTGAAAGATGGTTCCAACACCTAGTAATCTCTGTGCAGGAGTTGATGGCTTGGCACCAATATAAATCTTTTCAAATGATATCGTTGGTCGGTTCTTCTCTTATAGAGGCGCATGTGATGTTACTTTCAATGTTGATAGCCTGTTATATGAGACAAGTGAAGACCTTTATTATCTTTGTGTATCATGATTCCCTATGCAATACAAAATAACTTGCTTGTGTTTTGGGTTGTGAACCTGTACACTGTAAAACTTGCATTTTTTGAGCTTATAAAACTCCTTGTTGCTGCTGGTTATTAGGATCTCTGCTAGTCGAAGCATGTAATTTTGGGGCTCAAATAATGAGATTTTGGTCTCACTAACATTTTTCTCAATGATTTCAGATTTTTGAAAAGTTTCTATCTCTGGCTCTATACCCGAGCTCCGAACCCTTTTAAGTGGGGGTGAAAGCGACGCCTTCGTGAGAATTTATTCTCCGCACAGGCCTAGCAAGTAACCTTCGGGATTCTTATACCTTATGTCTTCGTGTGAATTTATTCATCGCATAAGCATAAGGGAATGTATC